CCACGGGCTCAGCCAGGGGCACGTCCCGCTCCTGCGCTTGGCGCGCCGTCGCTGGTCTCCGCGCGTTTGGGGGCGGCCGCGCAGCACCTTGGAGGAAGTGGGCCACTTCCTGAGTGGCTGGAAACTCCGTGCGCTGGAACCTTCCTCACTCACACTCTGCCACGTGGAACTCAAGAGCCCATGGCCTTGCCCTCCCCTGCTCAAGAAGCACCTGGGAACCTGTTAGAAATGCACCGTCTCAGCGCCCTGGCCCTCCGCCCCTCCGCCCTTCTCTCTCTCTCGCTCTCTCTCTCTCTCTCTCTCTCACACACACACACACACACACACCACACACACCACACACACACACACGCACACACACACACACACACACACCCCGCCCCAAGTAGAAACTCTGGGAGTGGGGCCCAGCCATCTGTTTCACAAGCCTTCCAGGGAATGCTGATGTCCACGACAGTTTGAGAACTGGTGGTAAACGATACCTTCCCGCAGCCAAGAAGTGGAGCCAAGGAGGAGGTGAGGAACGAAGGAAAAAAAGGAAAGAGAAAAATGGAACGACGTAGGGAGAACCTAGCACTGGGGTCCTCCAATATAATCCCAGCCTTGAAACTTCCTAAGACTTGATGCAAGTCTATCCTCACACCTTTAGTTTCCGTTTGTCTCTTGGACAAACTGGAAATCCATCGTTAGAGAAGACATTTGTTCTTTTCCCACAACCGCTGTTTAGCTTGGCCGCCTCTCCAGACAAGACCCATTTGGGCAGAGGGGTCACCACTGATTTCAGTCTATTCTTAGGAGTCATTTTTTAGGACTCCTGTTGACTTAACCTCAAGGTCAATGGCCTGTACTCACTAGAACCAGGCCTGAGGAGGACTTTGAAGGCTTTCCTCCTGCCTCCCCACAAGTTAATTCGCCTGCACTTTAACACAAGCATTTCCCACATCTCACCCCCAACCTCTCACACCTTACATTCCAATCCAGCAGCAAATCCTTTCAATTCTTTTTTTTTTTTTTTTTTTGAGTTGGAGTCTCACTCTGTCACCCAGACTGGAGTGCAGTGGCCACTCCCGGCCACCGCAGCCTCGACCTGCTGGGCTCCGGCGATCCTTCCGCCTCAGCCTTCCGAGTAGCCGGAATTACAGGCATGTGCTACCACACCCGGCTGATTTTTGATTTATTGTAGAGATGAGGTCTCCGCTGCCCAGGTGGGTCTCGAACCCGCGGGCTCAGGCAATCCACTCACCTCAGCCTCCCAAAGGCGCGGGATTACAGGCTGAGCCACCGAGCCCGGCTCAATCCTTTCAATTCTACTTTCAAAATATATCCAACGGCCAACCGATTCTCAAGCCCTCCACGGCCCTCCCCCATCATTTCTCACCTCTGTCATGACAACAGCCTCCTAAGTGATTTCTCTTCTTCAGAGAAAAGGCCACAAAGCCGATCATGGCCTAGGCCGAGCTTCCTCTCTCACCTCCTCTACCACCCACCCTTGCCCTCTCGGTCCCAGTCCCACGTCCTTCTTGCTCTTTCCAGGATGCATCAAACTCGGGGCCTTTGCACTTGTTCTTCCTTTGCATAGGATGCTCTTCCCTCCAATTCTCACACGGGTTACTCCCTGAGATTCTCGCTTCATTCAAGTCTCCACTGAAATACTGATGTCTCAGAAAGGCTTTTCCTGATCCCCTATCTAAACAGCAGCCCTCCTTTCCCCCACCCCTTGCCCTCCGTCAATTCTATCCATATCACTTGCGTTATCTGACATCTATTTGCCTATCTTGCTCCCCGGTGACATAAACTCCATAAGGTCGGGGGTTTTCCTGGGTTGTTGTTCCTTGGTTTGTTGTTTTGTTTTTTCAAAATATCTGTTTTCTTTTTTGTTTTTATTTTTTCTCGAAAAGCAGGGATTTGGGGGCGTTATGTCCCCTGATATATCTCAAATGCCTATAAACCACCTGGCACATAGCAGGTACCCAATAGGGAACCATTGAATGAGTGGATGAAGAAATATATTACGTAAGAGTCTGGACTCAACAAACGCTATGATCTCAATGACTAAAGAGCATCTCCATATAACCACTCGATGATTTAAACTATTTAATGTTCCACTCTTCTCTCAGTAGTCTAGCTGGCTATTAGTATAAAGTGTAACTTTCTCAGAGTAGTAATTTCTTTCATTACATAAAATTGTTATAACTGTGCCACAGAATGCCATTATTATTATTGAAGAAAATTCATTCAGATTTCCTGCCAGAAGTAAGTTTTAGCTTGTCACCCCTTGTTTAGGAACACTCTGAGAAAAGAACTGATTATCCCAGTCTATCATTCTTTGCTCATTTGTAACATTCACAGGGGGAACAAGGTACAAGGTATAACTCGTATGGTGTAGTATTAACAGGTTTGTAACTTGGCAGTTCCAACTTTGAATCACTTAGTGACCATGTGACCTGGTCAAGTTGCTTGATTTACCTGTCTCAGTCTCTTCATCTGTTTAGTAGAGCCGATAACATTTACTTCATGAGCTGTTGTCAGGTCTGTGAAGCACCTGACATATTCCCAGGAGCATAGTAAGTGTTCAGTAAGTGGAAGAAGCTAGAATTGTTACTATTAGTAAGGGCAACAGTGATCAAGCAAAGCAATTTTCTAAAGAAAGTGGAATTTTAATTGGACCTTGAGAATTATTGATGTTACATTAAGAAAAAAACTGCTGCTTCCTTCCCCACCGCACCCCCCCCAAACAAAGTTCTTTTCCCCCCATTGGTTTACAGGAAAAATTAAGGAATTCATTATTTTAGTCATAGTATTTAATATTTGCAAATCCTATGTGGGCATCATTTTATTAATCACACACTAAAAATGGGTCTCCAAGCAATTCAATAACTTTATGAACCAGATTCAATTTTACATGATTCTAATCAGCTAGTTTAGAAAATGTCCTATGCATTGTAAGTTTCTGTACTACATCAGTGTATTTTGTATTATAATACTCTTCTGTCTTCTCAACAGATTACTTTTTTTAACATCTCAATTGAGATGTAATTCACATACCATAGAATTCACACATTTAGGTTACCTATTTTTTCAAAAGAGCAAATTAGTAGAAATGTAATGTCTGTAAGGTATATGTGGTTTTGAATTCTCTTGCATGCCACAGAACTATGAAGTCTTTGTGTGCCATTCTCTCATTTGAGTTAGTGGCATCTGTGTATTTCACTGCCTGCAGAGTGGTGACAGTCTCAGATGTCTTCATACTTCCCCAAGTACCTTTTACTGCCCCACAGCATAGGAGTAGGAACTCTAGAATTGACTAATAGATAAGTACATGTGTTAGGTTTACATAAGTTACTAATTTAATCTTACAAAAGCCTATTAAGGCAAACACTATTAATATTATTATCACTATTTTACAGATAAGGAAGCCAAAACTAAGAGCTTTATGGACTTTAAGATCACCTATGACCTGGGCTTGTCTGACTCCAGAGTTCATTCTCTTAACCATGATACTACTTCCTTTATCTTAAATCTTGATTTTGTTTATTTACAAAAGTAATTCAGGGTTTACCCCAGAAAATTAGAAAATATAGATAACTAAAAGGGAGAAGAAATTGCCCAGACCCTAACATCTTTAGATAACCTCAATTACCAGTTAGGTGCAAATTCTTACAAATTTATGTATGGTTATAAGTATTTGCATAATTATAATTTATCATTATATAAAAACTTATTGTAATTGCTATTTACCAGAATGAGATAATGCTGTCTATATAGTCTGCAATCTGTGTTATAACTTTTTATTTGAAATATTTCCACTTAAATACATATCTAGATCTAGGTCAATGGTATTTCGTTGTGTAAGTGTAGCTTACTTTATCCACCTACTAGTAATATGCAATGCCTGTTTCCTGCCTCCATTTTTATATTTTTATTATTTTATCATTATTCTTCTTAATGTTTGTCAATTTGAGAGCTGAAATTGATATCAAATTCTATTGTTTAAATTTTGAAATTCTTAATGATGAAAATTAATTATTTTTTCATTGACTTTTTAGCTATATGTGTTGCTTCATTGTAAATTGCCTGTTCTTGTACTTTTTCATTTTTCTATTGATTTAATCTTATTGATGTGAAAAAGCATTATATATATTAAGGACATTAACCCTTCTACTGTAACACACATTGCAAATTAGACATATTTTTCTTATTAAAACATATTTCCCTGTGCTCTTTATTGAATTTTCTCCTTTGAAGTCTAGGTTAACCACAAACAAAATGTAATATTACATTTACCTCTGATACCTTCTCATCTTTTCTTAACACTCCTCTTTCCCTCTTATTGTTATATAACTTCTAAAGAATATCTAAAGTAATCAATAATATCTCTTATAGGTTGTTGTACATAGGGTTTTTATACAAAATAGATTAACTATTGGAAGATATTTCATGATTAAAAAAAAAAAAAGAAACTCCTCTACTTACTATCTGCCTCATGAGATTGGGTTTGTTTTGTTTTGTTTTGTTTTTTATATTTTATTTTAAAGATGTGGGGTGCAATGCAGGATTAGGTATACAAGTGGGCATCAAACAGGTAAAGTTTGGGCTTCCCTTTGCCTGATTTGAGATCAGGTACCCTTACCAATGTTGTATCTGCCTCCAACCTCCCAGCAGTATCCCACTACTACCAATCTCTTTCTTATAGTATTATGATAATTGTTCAAGGTCTACTTATGAGTGAGAACTCTGTTCTTTGTTTCTTTGATAGATCACTAAGTACGATAGACTCTAAATCCATCCAAGTTGCTGAAAAGTCCATGTGTTTGTCCTTCTTTATGGATGCGTAATCATAAGATTGTTGCAATAGTCTAACACATTCTATTTGGGGGGTACAAGCTTTAAGGTGAAAGAGACTAAAACTAGGCTTCATTTTTCATTTTGATGACTAAAGTTGCCTCATGATCTTGGGAAATAACTTTTTCTAAGCCTCATATTCCTTATCTTCAAAATGGGTATCTGTGAAAATTAAATGAAATTATATATTTAATACACTTCATACATGTTAATATACCTAACACACATTATCCTTTTCTAAATGAAGCTAGCATGACCACAAATAATAAATGAAAAGGTGCTTTAACTGTTATATCAATGTTAGTACATTTTATTCATATGCTAATTATACTACTTTTGTGATCAGCATATCAAATTCCCCAGGGAAAAGATATTAGTACCAACTTGAAAGGGAAAAAAGAGCTGGGCTCGGTGGCTCAGCCTGTAATCCCGCGCCTTTGGGAGGCTGAGGTGAGTGGATTGCCTGAGCCTGCGGCTTCGAGACCCACCTGGGCAGCGAGACCTCATCTCTACAATAAATCAAAAAATCAGCCAGACGTGGTAGTGCATACCTGTAATTCCGGCTACTTGGAAGCCTGAGGCGGAAGGCATCGCCGGAGCACAGCAGGTCGAGGCTGTGGTGGCTGGGAGCGGCCACTGCACTCCAGTCTGGGCGACCGAGTGAGACTCCAACTCAAAAAAAAAAAAAAGAAAGGGAAAAAAGTTCAACTTATTATATTTTAATTGCATATTTAAAACAAGTTGTTTTCATAACACAAACTACAGAAAACTTAGCTGAATAACATCTTTTCTAGAGAGAACATGTTGGAAGTGACTCCAACATCTACTTATCAATGATTCTGAAAGGTACAGAAGCCTCAGAAGTGTGTGGAATTTTTATTAGAAAAGGATATAAATGTTTCAAGTTGAGAAACACTTGCTCAATGTGATTTCGAAATATGAATCATCACAACTTTATAT